GGCAGTGGGGCCTGGGTATGTTTTGGGGTCCAGGCAGATGGGAGGGAGAATCTCTGAATTCCTCACCACCCCTCTGCTTGCAGCAATCCAGGGGTGGCTGAAGGAGGGTCCACCCCCTGCCAGCCCTGCCCAGCTACTGTCCAAACTGTCCCTCCTGCTGCTGGAGAAGATGGGAGGCTCATCCGGGGCAGTGAGTGCCGGCAGCCCCAGGGGGCGGAGGGCTGACATGGGGTCCCAGGCTGGCTGAGGGGTCCCAGGCTGGCTGAGGCCCAGGCCAGACCCGAACGCTCAGCATTCGCCTCCTCCTCAGCTCTATGGCCTGTTCCTGACTGCAGCAGCCCAGCCACTCAAGGCCAAGACTGACCTCCCAGCCTGGTCTGCTGCCATGGATGCCGGCCTGGAGGCCATGCAGAAGTGAGCCAGAACCCTGTGCCTTAAACCAGGGGTAGACTGGAGGAGGTGGCTGATGTCACCTCATCCCGGCCAGGCCCTGTGTCCACCCCAAAGTGACTCCCCACAGTAAACTTCATTCGTTTCCAGGTGTGGAAAGGCTGCCCCAGGTGACAGGACTATGGTGTGTATCTGGCCCAGTCCTTACCCCCTTTTGATTATAGAAGCCCTGAAGGATACCCTCTGTGGCAGGGCCTGTCCTCAGCTCCCCTGTCCCTCACTTTGTCCAGCTGGATTCTCTGTGGGCAGCAGGACAGGAGCTCCAGGCCTGGAAGAGCCCAAAGGCTGATCTGTTGCAGATTCTGACAAAAGCAGTCAAGGTGAGTGAGGCTGGGCCTGGCTACCCAGGGAGACAGGCTTGGAGCAAGTTAACAACTTCCTATACCTCAGTTTCCTCCTCTAAAAGTAGAGGTGACTACCTGAATCAGAGGGTGCCGTGAGGCTGGAGAGATGTGGTGTTGGGGGCATAGCAGGCCCTCAGTAAATGGTGGACCTTGCCCTGCTAGTAAATGGAGGCCGGTAGGAGGCAACCTCTCTACCCTAGTGACAGTACAGAGGGTGTTTGCAGAGCTGGGACAGGAGGGTCCAGGCTCCATGGCAGGAAGGAGGCCTGGTGGCTCGTCTTTAAACCTGCTCCCCCACTCCCACCCCCTCAGAGTGCAGAAGCCGCAGCCCAGGCCACCAAGAACATGGAAGCTGGAGCTGGAAGAGCCAGTTACATCAGTTCTGCACGGCTGGATCAGCCAGACCCCGGGGCAGTGGCAGCCGCAGCCATTCTCCGTGCCATCCTAGAGGTCTTGCAGAGCTAGAGTATGTGAATGCCTCCCTGGGCCTCAGTGCCTCCCACTGCAGTGCAGTTGGCCATCATCACTTCTGCTTTCTGTCACCCTCCCTCACCCCTCGGGCCCATCTGAAATTCCCCCATCAGCCTCTAGAACCTCTCCACTGTAGAAACGAGTCCCAGAGTGGGTCCCGTGCCTCTTCAGCACTGCCCTTTCCCTCCTCAGGGAGGGTGGGGTCCTGGGGTCACCCCTCTTTGTCCCCAGCCAACTCTGGGCTGCAGCAATGAGGCATTTTCCCTGGGTGGCAGCTCAGCCTTTAACTGTCAATGCTAATTTGGCTTTCAGACTCTCCATGAAAGGTCTTCTGCATTTGACCCTGAGCTAGTGTGGGAAAGCAAGCTAATAAACCACATTGAAACAGCAGCTACCGCTTCCTCTGAGGGACCTTTTTCCACCTGTGAACAGTGGCCCTGCTGCTGCGCCAGGGATTAGGACTTTGGCCCCTAGTTGAGGTGATCATGACATATCTCTTACCACTTGAGACCCAATGGCTGGGTCTGTGCAGCTGAGCTGGCTCCGCTGGGATCCCTGTTCCTGTCCTGACACACAGACCACACCTAATGGGTGTGCTTTTCTTAGCACTAAACTAATAGGACCTACTGGTCCTTCAGGAATCAGATGAGCAAATGGGACACCAGGAGGAAAAGGAATCACCATGGTGTAAGAGTCAGCGGTAAAACAGAAAGGGCACCCCCAGGTTTCTCTAGAGTAATCACTGATGCCAAGGCTGGTGCGTGGTGGACAGGACAGTGCACAGCTGGCCCATACTTGGCACAGGGCAGCGGTCATAGGCATGGGCATAGACTCACATAGACACACCTTTGAATCATGTTTCTGCTTTAACCAACTACATAAACTCAGCCCTATTATTTAGCTTCTTGGACTGTAAAATCAAAATGGTATCTGTCTTGTGGAGACGTGGAAAAGGATTCAAATGAACTGATGGTGAAGCCGCCGGCACAGTCCAGGGGGTCACTCACTGGGAGCTCCTATTACTGGTGTCTGCATCCAATTTTTTCCAGGTCATCTGCTCCACTACTAGGTGGCATCTACAGTTGGTCACACTGGGGGATGGGAGGCTCCCCATCACTTCCTTTGCCCAAACTTGACAGCAGTCTCCCTCAATTCCTGGGCTTCTCTGCTCAAGGTCCCCTGTCCATTGGCCACACCACGGGTCCCCGACCACAAGACACAGTTATCAGTGCACAGACGTGCACACCCAGCAGCTAAGGAGATTCTGGCATCAGACATCTGGCCTGCAGGTCCCAACTCTGCCATCTCCTGGCTGGGTAACCCTGGGCAAGTCTTTATCCGTTTGTGTTCCAGATTATAAAACTGGAAGCATTTCCTTCTTCATGAGATGACCAAGTGCTCAAAAGCCATTCACTATTAGGAACATCCATGTTATCAGGAGTCACAGGCAACTCCAGGAAGACAACCATGTGGATCCTCAGTGCCTTCTAGTTTGTCCCTCCCCAGGTCTTAGGCCTAGAACTGTCCTAAAGCTTTTACAAGGTATACAGGGCTCATTTAACCACAATGTCATTTCCGCAGAGGAGGCTTTTTCAAAAACATGTTTAATGAATATCAGGCTTCATAAACGGGTGAAATGCCTACCTATGTAGAAAGTGGGAGGGCTGGAAGTGAGCAAGGCACTTGGCATCCCAATGGTTTTGAAGGCTTCAGCCACTAAGGAGGTTTAGCTATAGCCATCCTGCCAGCATCTGGCCATGTAGGGTTGGGGTGGCCAGTTGGCCTCACGGATACCAGCACGGGAGTAAGTACACTTTGGACCCCAGGTGTTACGCTGCTTGTTATCTAAGCACAGCAGTGTGGCGCCTGGGACCTGGCCGAGCTTGTTTGGAGGGGGCGGGAAAAGCCGAAGTGCCCACTGGTATTTCCCCTCAAGAAGAGCTACAACGCACAGCCTGGCAGGACGCATGAGCCTGGGTCTGGCCAGGCAAGCAGCTGTTCTGGGGGCAGGTGAGGCACTCTGATGCTCAGCAAGGAACACTTCTGAAGATGGCCATGACCCTAAGCTCTGCTGGGCACAATACACAACTTCGGCACGTCTCATGGTGGGCTGGAGTGTGAAAATCAGTGGGGCTAGGACCCTGTCAAGAGAGCAAGGTTTAACCTGCCCAGGACAAGCAGGGACGCCCTACGCTAGTGAGGGAAAGTAAAACGTCTGAGGCGCCCTGCTGCTCATCCCTGTTGGGACAGTCGGGGACAGGTTGTCTGTACTTGAGAGAATAGGTTACCAGGGTTCATAGGGCTGCCTGACATTGACAGGTGTGTAAGTCACAGGGACAGGCCGGGATCCAGGCACCAGCTGTAGTAGCAGCTAGAAGAGGTGAAGCCACACAGTCACAGTGGACGCAGACACACAATGCAGCAACATGAATCAGCAGCAAAGAGCCGACAGCGCCTCAGCTCCTCTGCAGAGGCTGCTCTGCAACCACTCTCCCCTCTCCTTCCATCACCTCGCGACGTCCCAGTCCAGCCTCACAGCCAGGTGGGCCCGACGGAGATCACAGCAGATGAAGCCTGCCCCGTGGCACTCCCTAAACGAAACGCATTTGTGAACATCACCTCCCCCACTTTCACGTTAGATTGCACTTGAGCCCCAGCTTATCTGGGCTGTCGGGATTTCCCACCACGTCCTGAGGGGTCTAAAGGGGAAATCTGCTTGACTTTAGACAGACATCAGGAGCGCTGCAAGCAGCCGCGGCAAGGTGGGGCCTGTGCAAATGGGGCACTCGGAGGCCAATGCCAAGAAGGGGTGCAGACACCAAAGCCACCAAGAAAAGCGGTGAGCAGTACATTGGAGACAGCAGGCCCAACACAGAGGGAAGGACAGGTTTGGGCCCGGAGCCCAAATGAGTCTTGCGGAAACCAGACGGGCGCCCCAGGTAGATCAGAGCTCCTGCGGGGAATCCAGACCACACCACCGGCTGCTCCTGGGGCCCCTTCCCGCTTCACTCTCTCTCATGCAACAGGGACTGGAAAAAAAGGCAGAGGCACAGGGGTTAAGGACATAACGTCAAAGTGGCCCCTGACCTGCAGGAGTCACACCAGGTCTGAGCTATTCACACAGAACGCCAACCGGCAGGGCAATCTTCGCCCAGGCCACCGCATCCTTCAGGGAAGCCCCAAAGCTCCTCAGCCTGATGCGCCCTCCAGCTCACCCCATTTTTCAGGTGCCTGCATGGCCAAGAACAAGCAAAATCTGCTCCAAGCACTCAACTGGTCGCCAAGCACCTGCTAGATAAGCTCCCATCCCACCAAACCAGTCCCAAAGCTGGAAGAGAAAAAATTACGACAGCCCTCATCATGCTCAAGTCCTTCCTTGGGGAAAATAAGGCCTCGCTTTCCCTCGTGAAACCACAGGAATTTGGGGGAGTAACCGCCATCCTCTCACAGGGGACGGGCCAGGCCCCTGGCAGCCCGAGCCAGAGCAGCTACATCTGCTACGATGGCTGGGACGTGCTGGCCTGACTTCAGGGTTCCCACCGGCGAACCTAACCTCACCTTCCAGTTACTTGGTTTCCCACCATGTTACTGGGTTGGTCTTCCTGGTCAGGCTCACGCCTTTCCTGGGTGACCCTTCTCTAGACCCAGGCCTACCCCAACAACCTGCCATGGGAGACCTGGACTCCATACCTGTCTTTCAGTCGTGATCCCCGCCTCCGGGCGTTTCCAAGACGAAGCCTGAAGGATATAGAGCACCAGCAGCCCGAAGATCACCACCAGCATCCCAGTGCTGTTGGCGAAGACTGCCTCACCAGGCAGGCTGGAGTACGGCTTGGTGGCATTTTTCCTGAAGATGATGAAACGATGCAGGCTCTTGAGAGGCTTTTCTACCTGTTTCTGCCCAGTGGGAGAATCGGTGCTACTAACGGAGGGTGAGAATGCTCCCCAGGACCACCCGTGACCTGGACTGTTGACATATTTCTAAGTCCCTGCCACAACAAATATTTGCAAAATGCTTTTCATATACGAAGGAACTCTGTGCCTCGGAACTCATTTTTAAGTGGCAATGACAACAGTATCGATGTTGTCGGGCAATTAGAGGATTAAATTTAAGGTTCTTAGAATAGGTTGACACATAGTAGGTGCTAAGTCAATTCGATAATTGACTTAGCACCTACTATGGATAAACACCTGCTGACTGTTTACCAATCTCAACCTAAAGAAAGACCTTCCAGATCAGGAACGAGCCCAACCCCAAAGGCCCCCCTCCCTTGGTTGGGTCTCATGATCATGAGGTGCATCTTCTGAGGACCCTATTCTTTCTCCTCCACCTTAGAGTTTGGGCCCCACCCCACTCACAAACTGAAGAAAAGCTTCTCATTAATGCCAGAAATGACAGACGCAATGGCCAGAGAGAAGATGGAGGCTCCAAAGAAGACGTGGACGGGTTTAAGGAGGCTGCGCAGCTGCATGGATGCCCAGGGCAGCAGGAAGGTGGCAAAGCCCAGGGACCACTGTGGACACAGGGAGAAAGTACCTGACCATACTGTGGGTGACCAAAGGTGCCCCAGGTCATCCCACCCCGCGAGCAGCTCCTACGGGTCAGGGAACCTTGGCCCACCAGCCACTTCCCGAGCACCACACCGAGCTTCCTGAATGTGGTCTGTCTGCTCCCGCTACACAAACAACGCATTTCACAAAATGCGTAGCTATAACCCCATTCTCCCGCAAACCCAGCCATTCTTGTTTGTCTATTTCCTTCCAGGACTGGCTCATAAATCTCCCTTGTACAGCACTGACATCAGAATACGAACACGACTTCTAGAATTGCTTCTGGTTCACAGAAAGGTGGGAGTAGGGAAGGTGAAAAAGATGATTTAGCATCAACGTGGTACGTGCTGTGACAAGGTTAGCTCAGAGCACTCTGGGATGACAGGTGGGCCGTGTGATGGGTAACAGCAGGAACAGGGTGAGTGTGGGAACTGCCAACCTCCCACGGCCTTTTAAATGGCCCGTTCTACAGGACGTGCCCTGCAAGGCCATCTCCAGGCAATAAGCAGAGGGAATATTTTGTGCTGATACAAGCGAAGCCCCAACCAGAACCCACGGCTGCCATCCAGCAGTGGGAACCCAAAGGAGGGTGGAAAGCACCCACCTGGCAGGTGAAGAGGAAGACAGTGGTGATGCCCAACCAGCTGTGCAGGGAGTAGAGGTTGGCGATTTTTGCCTTGTTGTGATATTTAAAGACAGCCACGAGCCCCAGCACGGTCAGGATGAAAGCCACCAGGTGCAGGGCTGCATGGGCAATTTTCCAGGGCAGCTTGGATCCCATCCACGACTGGGGCAGACGGTACACCAGCGACGCTGCAGGAGAGAGCAGTGTCGGCTTGGCCTGTTCCCCTCATGCTCACCACACATTAGGGGAATTACCCTGACATGGTCCCACATAGCCTCCCAACGAAGAAAAGAAAGAAATGCTAGAACATTGGTATCGACTCCTCAGCGTCTCTTGTCCCTACAACAGTCGGTCATGAAGGGAAGAGGGAAGGGACAGTGATAAAAAGGGAGGAGCAAGTTTCTTGGACCTGCCCTTGGATCATTACAATAATAAAGGTAGCTTGCATGCAGTTCTGCAGGTTACAAAACAATGTCACATTCATTATTTCATCTACCTGTATTATCACAACTGAGATGAGTTATCAAGAACACAGGATGTACAGCTGGATAACCTAGGTCCAAATCCTGGCTTTATCTCCTAGCTATTTGGCATCTTCTTTCTAAATCTGTTTCCTCATCTGTAGAGCAGGGATAACAATAGAGCCCACCTCACAAGCTTCTTGTAAGAACAAAATGGGATGATGTATCTGAAGTACACAGGGTAGACTGCTATCATTAATGTCACCATCGTTTATTTCCATGTTACAAGTGGGGAAAATGAGGCTCTCTTGGGTCCCAAAGCTCAGCTCTGAATGCATGGGACTAAGATGGGTCTGGCAGGAGTAAGCGGATCCCTTACGTGAAGACCTACTATGCCACGAGAGGCTTCAACCTCCTGCTCCTTAGAGCAGGGTCGGCAAATTACAGCTCACAGGCTGAATCCAGCCAACCACCTATTTCTGTGAATAAAGTTTTATTGGAACACAGCCAGGCGTGTGTTTTCGTTTTGTCTATGGCTATTCTCACAACACAATAGCAGAGCAGAATAGTTGCAATACAGATCATATGACCTGCAAAGCCTCAACTATTTACTACCTGATCCTTCACAGAAAAAGTGTGCCAACCCCTGCCCTAGTATATTCATGAAGTTGCCTTTCTCAGATGCCCCCAAATGACACCCGGGCCCAGAGACAGACCAACCCACCCAACCTCTATAGCCCTGAACCAACAGTGACAAAAGCCAGCCCTAGAGAGGGAGTGCTCTGCCCTGCCCAGGCCTGGGCCGAGGAACATCTCCCCTGCTGACCTCATACTCACCAGCACTGTAGAACACCACCATGCCAGCAACCATGAGCACTGGGTGATAGTTGAACGTGAGCTTGGTGCCATTCCATGCAAAGCCACCGTGCCAGCTCCACATCCAATAGGTGGTAAAGAGGATGCATATCATGCCCAAGGACGACAGTGACAGGACAGACACATAAAACCATGCCACAGCCATTCTGATCGGGCACTCCTAGAAGAAGGAGAAATCACAC